TTTCCATTACAGCAGTCACAGATGGCTGCGCAGGGGAGGATGGTCATGCCGACCGGAAACAAACTACAAAATACTTCTTATGGTGAGCATGATGAGGGGGGCTCTTTTATCTCAAATTAAAGGACCCTGTCAGAAAGTCTCAGAGTATACATAAATAACCAGTGGTGGACGAAGTACTTTACTTAGATCTTGTACCTAACTAAAAGTAGTTACACCACCTTATACTGTATAAATATCAAAGAAAAGTCAAAGTCCTTAGTCAAAAGTATTGGCATCAAAATATACCTAAAGTACCAAAACTAAAAGTAGCTTATTTTCGCTTTATATATATTTTGTATATGAACCTGCTTGTTTTTTTCTCTAGTATTTGCTTCCAAACTGAAGTGGACTACTATGGACTAAAGTGTAAAGGCACAGAAAATAAAAAAGTATCTCTAAATTGTACTTAATTACAGCTATTGGGTAAATGTAGGCTACTTTTCATCACTGTAAGTAACCTGTATTAAACTGATTCTCAAGGCCAATATTTGTACCACTGTCTCAGTGCCAGGCACTACAAACTTCTCCTCTTACCTCGGCCACCCCAGAGGGACGGGCTTCACATCAAATCAGAGACCAGCCATATTCTACAGGCCCAGTTTGGACCACATTGATAACCCTCAATTTGGGTAAGTGCCAGGGCAAGTGAAGACAATTCAAATGAAATGTAATGCTTGATACTTAATTGTAATAGCACTGTTTGTTCTGTGTTTGCTTTCTTGTAAACCAACTTCCTGAAGTGGTTCAATTGACTGTGAAATCCCCACTGTCATGTATAAAACAACTGTTCCTCTCCAGCTTCAAAAAGCTTGTCTCCTCAAACACAGGTGTGTTGTTTTTGTCCTCAGACTCCTGTTATCTGACAGTTTCACGACACAAACTAAGCAGCACTACCAGCCTCACGTCCGGTCTGACTGCTGGGGGTCTTTACCAAGCCTCATTAACAAACCCAGAGACAGCGGCTTCTACCAGCTGAGGATGCACCCAAAGGCAGAGACTGTGGAGGAAAAGGTGAAACACAGAAAGATAACAACGCCTGAGATGTTGAGAAATGTCAAACATGCAAAAGTATTGAGAATGTAATTACTAATTGTCTGCTTTGAATATTTTCCCTCAGACAGAATACCAACATTTTTTTGTACCACACTGTCAAACACCAAAAGGTAAAAGGATAAAAATGTTAGTTATATATAAATATAAGATTTATAAGGTCTTCTTTAATGTAATTTGTGCCAATAACAATGAAAAGCTTTTACTTGAGTGCAGTTTGGAGTTTGTTTGTAAATGCATTTAGAAAGCACTTCCTCTAGTTTCACAGAACCGTGTGAGTGTGGCTCCAAGAGGAGAGAGTGGTTTCACAGAGGGAACAAACCTACAACTCAACACATTTCAGGACAAAAGCTGCATCGTAAGTTTGGTAAATTGTCAAATGTATAAATTATTATTATTAAGTATTACTTTTCTTTATATGTAATCACACTATACAGTAGGTTCAACATTTATTTAAAATGTGTGGTCCGTCTTTATCCAATGTGTACATTATTCTCGTTCAGGTTGAACCTCTCCAGACTCACACAGTGATGACCAATGACTTCGTTCGGCCTTCATTTCCGCAGGTTGACCCACAGAACTTACATGCATCCACTCTGACACAATCTTTTGAAAGAATGCAGTTTGTAGTATCATTTTCCAGAAGCCATGACTTTTAACAGCATTTTTCTGTGCTTGTGTTTGAGGGCACTGAGGCGAGACCGAGCGTTTGCAGCAGCCATTTCTCTCATAAAACAGGATTCAATCGAGTTGCCATCGCTCCTTTGACCTGCCGAGTCAGTATTGATCTGCTTCCAGTCAGCTGTAGATTTGAATGTTATCCCTTTTAACTTTAACCTGCCTCACTCTGCTCTTCTAGGCCTCCCGCTTGCCCTCACCACAGACTAAAAGCAATGCACCAACTGCTACGACCATTGGAAAAAAGGTTATACATTTGAATATTTTATATTATTTACCTTTACTCAATATAACCTCTGTGAGATATTTGTTGTTTTACCATGTTGTTGTGTTTTCTAGGAGCCAACAGGGTTTATTCTCAATGCTCCAAATAACCAGGCTTTGCCTAAGACACCTTTTGATGGTTCACACTTTAACACACATTATAAAAGCACGTAAGTGTGTTTAAATTGTTCAGATATTGCCAATCTTAAAGATTCAAGTTTGATTTGTTGAAATGTCCACGTTATATTCCAGGTTCTGTCATGATGCCAATTGGGAAAAGTTGAAATCTGGCCACACTAGTGCAGGAATCGTCTGCGCAAAAATGGACAACGGCTACAATTGTCGGGACACGGACAGGTACATAAACAATCTCCACACATAAAGTCCCATAATGCAAATGTTCCCTTTACTCAAATGACCTGCTTTTATTTCACAGATTCATGTTGAGGGGTTAGATCTTGGAACACCTGAGATGGGACCTGCAAGACTTATAATAAAATGTAATTCTCTGGTTAACACATAACTCCTGGTGATTTGTGCTGTGATTTGAGTAAGAACCGCATTAGCATTACATATCCTTGTAATTAAATCCTGAAATCCTTTATCACTACACTGTCTGTGTTGTTATGCAATAGTCCTGTCTAAAAGCGGCACATTCTCATCTCTTTGTGAAGTCCTTTTTGTGTGAGCTGCCAGTCAGACAAATGTGTGAAGTAGTGAGTGGTGTGAAAGCCAAAGAGGGAGAGAAGGTGATGATGCTTTGTCTTTGACTGTCTGGCTGTCACTGACCTACAAAGAATGAGAGTGTAAACTAATGAGCAAAATAATTATACTCAGATTCAGAGTATATGGCACAGACTCCCATCCACGTCTGCTGTGTGTCAAACTGTTTTGCCACCCACTGCTGCGGAGCGAGCAGCCGAGCACAGGCCGAGGAGGAGGATCGAGTTCCTAAAAGCGTCACATTATGGGTTGTATACTGTATCTCCATACTATACACTAACTGTGGGAAACTCTCAGCGGTTTTACATTGTCGATGCAAGTCCAATAAACACAGGATTACGGTGTCAAAACAAGAGATACAGAAAACCGCAGTAAGTGTTGTTCTCAGCAAAGTGTAGACAGTAGTGTTTGATTATTTGCCTACACATCTTTCTGAGGTGAACAGGGAAATAATACGCTTTATGGAAATGTGGCCATTCCAGCAGCTCTCGCGATATAATTGTTGGTCAGTCAGAAACTATGATCAAGAGTGAAGTATCTCAACAACTACTCCTGGATGGATTTCAATGACCTTTGGTACAGCCAGTTTGTGCCTGCCATATAGTGCTATTATAAGGTCAACATATCATTTTGTCAAACTCTTTATCACCACATAACTTCTAAACTAATTACAGTTCCATCCACCTCAGCTGTACTTTGTGTTTGGTGCTAATAGCTAATTTAGCATGGTTAGCATTACACTGGCTAAATATCAGCATGCAGTGTCAGTGTGCGGCTGCTGTGCTTGTATGAATTTAAAGAAACACATTTGCTCTAAAGGGAACTGTGAAGGGCAATTGTAAAATGTTCTAATATTAAATTAAACAATCACTCAATTAAGCAATAATTGTTACAACACTGATAGGTTATATAAATGATCAGTTGCAGCCATAGGCATAAAACACAAATACCCCTAAACAAAGTCAGGACATAGAATGGTCATTTTCTGTTTTTGTTCTCCTTTAAATGTCAAATGTCACTCAAGCCCCTCTGGTTCTCACTGTTCAAATACAAAATATGGGGCCTAAAAGAGAGAATTCCTGCATTTCATGTTTTAGAATTGAAGACATGCAATCATCAGTTTAAGTCTGTTTTCCAAATGTTTCCCTCAGCACAGTCGAGACAAGCTGCCACACGAGAATGAGCATGAATATTTTAGCATTAGGATAAATATTTCACTGAATGAGATGCGAGAAAAAAGATACGTGGAGGGAAAGAGGATTGGATTACATGCGAGCCCCACATGAATAATGAGTGCAGAGATGAGAGGAGAACAAGAGCCAGACCTGCTTCATGTGAGAGGCAGAGGTAGAAAAGGTGCAGTGGAGACAAAAGGGGAGTATACAAAGGTCATGACGGACCTGAGTCTCTGACCTGCAAAGGGCATCAGGTTGTTTTATTTGAAAAGAAAAATCTCTTACTTGATTTTTTTGTGAGTCTATTTCATGTTTGGAGCCTCCCTATGGACTTACCTTTTATGGTGAGGCACCCCAGCTATTCATCCGTTTAATAATCCTGCTTGTCTCCCTCTCTTTCTTGGCACTGACACTCTCAGGACTGCTTACACAACACTGACAAGGGTGGGGGGGTTTTGTTAAGTATGTCATAAATATTTTGTAAATCTAAATTCAATACACACAACTACATGTGCACACACAGTCTCGGTTTATAAAAATAGCAGCAAGTCGAGCAGAGGTGCACTGGCACATTAAACAGACACTGACTGTGATGGGTGGAAATACTACAGAGTGTCATTGAAGTAAACATTTGCTGGTGCGTTCACTGGCTCCCAATTAAGACATACTCCCATGAACAACTGACACTGACCTCATCAGCAACATTAATATTTAATAAGGGAAGACTTGGTCTCCTGTGCACACTCAGAAAACAACATAATGCAAAAACAGCCACTCTCTCACACACACACACACACACACACACACACACACACACACACACACACACACACACACACACACACACACACACACACACACACACACACACCACCTGAGTCCTGATCTGATTTGGTCATTAGCAGCTGATTGAGATGTCACGGTGCTGTCACTTTACAGTTAAATAATGCCTCATTCACTTTCACAGTTAACGATAGATTAGAAATAAGCAGCACGGCTCATTTGTGTCAGCTTCTTTCATCCACCTCCGCCTGCCAGCAGATCATCAGAGTCTGGATGGTTAAGGGATTTTCATGCCCCTTCATCTTGCCTCCCTGTGTCCTCCAGCTCCTCATACTCATAGTCCAGCTGAGCCCTCTCGTACTCCAGCTCGTCTCCCTCATATTCAAACCCCTCTCCTTCACATATCAGTTCCTCCGTCTCATACTCAACCCCTTCCTCGTTGTATTCAAGATCACCTGCATCATACTCAGGGACAGGAATCTCCCCTTCCTCCTCCTCAATTGTCATAGGCTCTTCCTCATTAGCGTCTGCGTCCCCTGAAGTGATTTGTTTTGAGTTGGAGCTGCTGTTCTTCAGGATGCCATGAATCACTGGCTCCTCTTCTGCCAGAGCCAACTGTTCGGCCTCTTCCTCTGCGGCCTTTCGTAGTCTCTCTTTCTTGGCCTCTCGAGCCTCCAAGAACTCCGCAGCGCCTTCCCCGACCACGATGACCTCCCCGCCCACTCTAGGAGGGCTGTCCACTGGGTTGTGGTCGTAGGAGAAGAGATGAAGGTTGTGGAGTCGCTTCAGGCTGGGGAACTCTGTTATCTTGTTGCGGTCTATATCTAAAATCTCCAAATGCTCCATGCGCAGCAGGACTCTGGGGAAGGTCTCAAAGCGGTTCCCGTACAACCATAATCCCCTCAAAGCCTCCATTCGAATGAGGTCAGATGGCAGCGTCTTCATACGGTTGTTCCCAATCTGAAGGGACTTGAGGTTGGGGAGGTCGTAGAGCTCCCGGGGAAATGTTTGGAAGTAGTTGCTCTCGACCCACAGACAGCGCAGACTCCGGAGGTTCTTCAGCTCGGGCGGGAGGCACATGAGCCGGTTGCTGCCCAGGTAGAGGCGAGTCAGTTTAGTGAGCTCACACACAGCAAGGGGAACGTCCTCCATCTTGTTGAAGTCGAGGGCGAGGACTCGCAGACCCTTCAGCTGGGAAATGCTGTCGGGCAGAGTGCGCAGGCTGTTCCCACAAACATACAGCTTCTCCAGATGCAACAGTTCAATGACTCGTGACGGCAAGCGCTTGAATTTACGGTAGCTCAAGTCCAGCACAGGGTCTCCACTCTCGAACATCTCCTCCACCCCCAGTGGAAGCTCTCCCTCCACCACCACCTCTTCTTTCTTCTTCTCTGTGATTTCGGATTCCTCGCCATCCTTTGCCCCCTCCTCTTCTTCTAGCGCCCCCTCTTCCTTGGTGGAGGAGTTGCCCATGACTGCAGCCCCTGACTCTATGTGAGTCAGGACAGAGTCATTTGATGAGGTAGTGTCTGTGACAAGTTAACCCTCAGCGTGGGAGCTGCTGTTGACTCGTTGATGAGCCCAACGGCTGCAAACGCCATCCACCCCCGAGACAGTTAACAGTCTTGCAGCCATATTAGAGGTAATAGTTTTAATGGCTGTAATATTAGTAATAGTGCTTCTTGTAGTTGAGCTCAACAAAGTACAGCAGCATTTGCAGTTTAAATTGAATCCTTGCAGTCCTTACCCTTTCTTCTCCTCTTTAACTTCCTCCAGGCTTTTAAGAGAGATAACGCGCACCTGTCCACGTGATCCGGTCACTCTATCAGAACAGGAAAAAAGTGCCACTTTGGGACTTTAATAGTCCGTTAAATGTCCCTCGTGCTGCCGGATGTTGCTGGATAAGTCCACAGTGCGTGCGACCTGGCCGGCGGCAAAGGAAAGGAGTTAATGGAAGTCTGCCCACTAGTTAATGCAGCTGCTCCCCATTAGAGGCCGCGGTGACTCCCGGAGTTTTAATCCGCGCCGGAGAAAGAAATTCCACATTTTGGGAAATTGCAGCACAGACTGCCTGCCTCTGCCCTCCCGATGCTGACCGCGTCTCTCCATCAGTGTGAAGCTTTACATTGAACTGCTGCCTCCCTCCTCCCCCCCTCTGTAACCGGAGCAGGGGGCATTCTCATCACATGGTCAGTGTGTGTGTGCTTGTGTGTGCTTGTCTGCTTGTGTGTGCTTGTGTGTGCGTGTGTGTGTGTGTGTGTCCTAGTGTCCTAGTTTGTGTATGAAAAACGTTCACTCCTACTCGCATTTTATTGCACGTGCTCGTATTGAAACGATTTTGTAACAACACTGCAGCACCTCTATGCTCAAATATACAACATTTAACCTTTCACCTACATTTGGTATATTTTTTTATTTTATTTGCAGATGATAACAAACATCTTGTCATTTCTATGATCAATATTGTTATTATTATTATTATTAATAATATTATCATTGTTATTATCTCTACATAAAACTTAAGCTTGTTGTAGATTTATATATCTAAAATATACATTTTCACATTATGTCATTTACTTTTTTTTTTGTTTAGTTTTTGTTCATGTTATGGGTATAGGGTATGTCCTATTCTCTTTCCCAGTCAACCTTTGATCAATGGATATGTACTTATATAAAAAGGAGAGAAAGTTTCAAGACCTCACCACTCAAACAATCGGAAATGTACAGACTGATTTCAAATGTACATAATACAAAATACATTTTCACAAAATGATGCGCCACAACTAAAGTATCTGACTCTAAAAAAATACAGAAAATTTCACCTCAACCAGCCACAACAAGAAAATACTTCATAAACATGAAAATATCAACAACATATTCTGTTATAACACTGACAGTAGCAATAATACTGTGTAATTAGTACTTTTGTTTTGTTCTTAAAGTATATTTTGCTGATTACACCTTTACTAAAGAAACGTCTTGAATGCAATAATTGATAGAGCATTTTTCTCATGTACTTTTACTTTTACTGAACTTCTTAACCCGAACTTAATAATGATACCTGACACCTGAGTAAAATAACAGTAATCTTCAGGCAGTCCCCTGGACCTCCAAAGATGGTAACTTTGGGACTGGTTTATATCAAACACTACAGACATTAGCTTCAGCAGGTTTTTACAGACCAATTAAAAAGCTGTGACGACAGCCGTCATGTGACCTTCTGCTTTGACACAGAACAGACACAAAAATGACCTATACACTTCTGCTAACCCTCACAGTGTTCAACCTGAGGACAGTGTAACTGTTATTATTCATTGGGCAGTATGAAAGAGTAAAAGTCTCACCAAATGCCAATAATAAAGTAAAGGTTTTCCATACAGTATAGGTCAATGTGGTTACTCACCACCTCAGAAATAACTAAATCTATTCAAATGCAGTTCAGATTATCATGAATGTGACTAGACTAATATTCATACTCTGTGGCTCAAAATAGATCCAACATTTTCATGAGCCTAAAGCAAGTAAAAGGGCAACAGATGTTAGGGCACAAATTAGATTAATCATGGATGAACATTTGCATCCTGCAAAATATACTTTGAGTATGGTACAAACAATACAGTATAAATCAATGCATCACTATAAATACAATAAAGCAGTAATACAAATAAATGAATACTTCAACGGTATTGTAACACTGACAGAGACGATTCTGCTTGAGATCAGTAGTGCTTGAGTGAAAAAAAGTGTATGTTTGCACTCGAGCACTACTAATTAATTAAACTACATGTAGTATTAATTTAAAACTGTAATAATACTTCTTCCATTGTACTTCTGAATGCAGGATATTTGACTTGTAATGCATTATTTTTATAATGCAATTTCTGACATTGCTGTATATAATACTTGCAAACCATTGATCTAAAATAAGCATACATTTTAAACTTATGCATGCTAAGTTTTAGTATTATTGCTTGAATTGCAGGTGGTAAATATGTTAGTTTGGAAGCCTTAAGATTGGAAGCCTCCCAAAACAGAAAATACTTATGTGAAGTTCCAAAAACTCAGATTTTAACTTGTTACACTAACTTTATTCGACAATAGCTGGCTTGTTTTCTGATCGACAGCCTGTTTGGTGGTTGTGAAACCAAAGAAAAGCCTGGAAAAGCTGCTGGGGTCAGATGTGCCGAGCTACTGTCAGCCTGATGAGCTGTGGCAGAAGAAGCGGACAAACAGGGAGACAGTCCGCACGCTGCTTGAGGATAATCCTGTCTGATATGCTGAAGACCAAAAGAGCTGATTTGCAAATTTCTGCGCCGCATTCAAACGACCCTGAAATGACACAAAGGACTGTAAGCAGCAGACAGACAGAGACTGCGGGCGGTGAATGGCTGTGACTGCTGAGGTGAATGTGTTGAATGCAGATTAAGAACTGCATGACCCAGCTGGTATTAAAAACATATGGAAAAGCAATTAAAATGATACAAAAACACACAAAAAATGACACTTTAAAGGTTACTTTCTATCATTCAAGAACAAATAATTAATAATGAAACATACTATTGGGTTAAATTACATGATTGCATGTATGAGGATCACACATGCAACACTAGCCTGTAATCTACCTGCTGTTGTATCGTTGGGGTTAAATGAGGACAAAGAGGTGTCTGATGAAAGGAGCACATCTGCACTATCTGCTGGTGGAGGAGGGTTCTGCAACACACATATTTCATAGCAAACAATGAATATATATATAATGTTGTTACAAAATCTTAATAATAATATCAAACTAGACTTGTTTCGACTGTCAACATTTGTATGAGTTCAAGAGATTGTGAGAGAGCTTTAAATACAGATACAGTATGGCTACATGTCTGAAAATATTCAGTAGTTAAATGTGTAAAAAGATATCTCGCAACCACAGAATATATTACGTAATATAACTTAATTTAGCAGCAACTATTTTCTTCTTAGAACATTGAATCAATGTAGATTAATTTAAGATATTTTGGTAAAAAAAAACAAAAAAACAAGATCAATCTCAATATATTATTTCTTTGACCCAGGATAGTTAAATCATTATTTGTAAACACGAGCTACTCTCTTTCAAGTACAGAAACCCTTTTTATTCCCAAGTAAGCTTTATTTTATTGGAGACATCAAGAACAATGCAATAAATCCTGAATAATCATCAACCAACTAGAATGGAGTAAATATCGAAAAATAAAGACTTCACTACGACCATATTTAATATGATATGCAGTGATAATGCGCATTTACATTGTAGATAATGATATACATGTAACATATAATGATAGATGCTGTAACAGTCACTCTTTCACAGACGAGTGTGTGTGATATTCAGACGAGCTGTTTGTTGAGCCCATTGCACATCAGCCAGTGGTCCAGGATATACTGTACGCTCATTGGCCCAAAAACCCTCGAATGATCGGCTCGGAAGTTGTTCTAAATGAGTGGGTGAATGAGTCCATGAAAATATTAGGGAAGACACGAGGATGAATTTAGGATGTTGGTAATATTTAAAATGGGTCTGAAGAACGGGATCATTTAAAGTGAGCCGGTGTGTGAATGTGACTGAAACCCGGGGAGAGTTGCCAAAATCTGGATCCTGTAAGTGTGACATATTTGTCTTTTTTATGTTAATGTGGCGGGCCTGTACAGCCTACCGTCTGCTATCTGTGATCAGTGTTTACCTGATCAATAACCAGCCGATCAGTGGTAATGGAGAGACTGTGATTTGATGGTTCTGTGTTTTACAGCCGCGTTTTACAATGAACCGCGACTTATTGCTTTCATATGCGGCTGTGAAGATGAATAGTCGCACACACACTCATAACAGTCTAAATATACAGTAGATAATTTGCGTGTTTTATAATGTGAGGATGTGCACTTGACTTGCACTTTTGAGGTAAAAGTCGATACAGACGAATGATGCAAACTCCACATTTGAATCCGCCCTTTTTCACCAGCAGCCAGCGAGTCGAGTTTCATCTTCAATCATTAGTGAAGATGTTGCTGTGCTCTTTTTCTGACTTTAATTGTGTAACACAGGCTGGGAGGTTAAACTAAAGAGAGCAACAGGTTGAAATCCTCTTCTTCCTAACTCCCTCTGCACGCTGCACACTGTCCCAGGGTAGATTAACACACATCTGTTTCTTCATCCAGGTGTCAAGTCTGTGATTGGACTTAAGTGCGCAGGTGGACCCAGGCCAGAGACAGCAGTGAAGATGGGAGGTGGAGGCCATCTGACGGAGGCAGGGGAGCCGGGCAGCGGGAGAGCCGGGGGGGTCTACACCTGGGAGGAGGTGCAGAGCCACTGCAACAGGAACGACCAGTGGCTGGTGATTGATCGGAAGGTTTACAACATCACACAGTGGGCCAAAAGACACCCAGGAGGCAGCCGGGTCATCAGCCACTACGCAGGAGAGGACGCCTCGGTGATATGTTGCTTTAATTACTTATTATATATGTTATGGTTAATATAAAATATTACCTGAGAATATAAGTGGCTTCAGTTGGTGTGGTGTTCAAACATGTCAGTGGGGAAATGTAACTCAACATTTTCAACAGGTAAAATACTTGTTACTTCTACAGTACACCCTCACATTTCAGAGGGACATGTACTATAGTACTTTTTAATTCACTGCATTAATCCGACGGTCATAGTCACTTTGTGACTAGAGAAATTCACGTTTCATGTCCTATGCTCTTAAAATCCAACACATCTTTGAATATTAACTAGTGGTTTCCATCCTTTATCATACGACCTCAAAGATGTATCATGTGTCCCTTTGAAGTGTACCTGCCCCTTACGTCAGGCTACACCAGCAATATGCTGCTTACACATTGTTGCATCAGTATTGACAAGCTAGAAATATATATTTTTAACATAACAGTTACAGGGCCCATATTTATGCAGAACCAGTACTTTTACTATAATGAATACTTCTTTCACGCAAGTAAACTGTCTAAGTGAGTCCTCCCCCAAAAGAAATGTAAGGCAAGGCAAGGCAAGGCTAAAACACTCATTTAAAAGCAAAGATACATGAATCACAGTTACAGTGCAGTGTGAGATACACACATCTGAACAAACCTTTGGAAAATTATAATCTGACCCAATGGTACCTTTTATTTTTCGCCAAAACTATTCCTCTTTTTTATTTTTAAATGCAAATAGTTAAGTTTAAGTTGTCTTTTCTAGGACTTTTTTTGATGTCCTCCGCGAACCAGGATCTTGAAACCAAAACGGCACACGTAGGAGACTTTAACCATCTACGAGGGGACTTTAACACCAATAATGACTTGTACAATTATTCTCTGACAAGATTTCTCATTTCTGTTTTCCAGGAGGCATTCACTGCTTTTCATCCCAACGTAAAATATGTACAAAAGTTTCTGAAGCCCCTGTTCATTGGAGAGCTGGCAGCAACAGAGCCAAGTCAGGACCGGGACAAAAACGTGAGATGTGCTTCAGATTCTTCAAATAAATCAACATCTCAATAGTCACGTCTTATTGGTAAAACATGGTGAATAGATACCATGTACTGTATAGCAACATGCATGCATACTTTTTTATTGCTTGCATCATCTGTTGAACTTTGCTGGACCTGTATGTTTCTTCTTCTCTACTTTCAGGCGGCAATCATAAAAGATTTCCACTCTTTACGTGCGAAGGCAGAGAGCGAGGGTCTGTTTGAAGCCCGGCCTCTGTTCTTCTGCCTCCACTTGGGTCACATCCTGCTGCTGGAGGCCCTCGCCTGGCTCATCATCTGGGTCTGGGGGACCAGCTGGACTCTGACGTTTCTGAGCGCCTTCATGCTGGCAACTGCTCAGGTGAGTCAAACATCATACATTTTCTCATAAGGTGGAAGAGATTCACAAAGAAACAAAAAAAGACTGGAACATGAAAAAGAAAGTTATGCAAAACCGTTTCAAAGACACACAAATAATCCATAATAAACTATGACTATTAAAAGGGGAAAAACAACCACAAAGAATCATCAAAGACACGGAAAAAATGACTTGAAAATAACCAAAATGACACAAAAAAAACATTAAAAAGTCACTAAAATAAAAGGGTAACCAAATTAGACACAAGACCACATAGAGAGGTGTAGAGACCACAAAGAGACACAACTAAATAATACAAATAGGCTAAACACAACTATAAAGTCTCTCTGCTGCTTGTATAGGAGTGGTAGTTGGGCCTTTCGCATGTCTGTGCCAGGGGCGGATCTAGACAAATATTCATGGGGTGGCAAGAGGGTGGCAGGAGAATTTCAGGGGTGGCATCTCCTGGCAGAAGTATATGCTGATTTAATCGCAGTCATATCAACCAATGTTAACTTGGAAAGCAACAATATTGATATTTTAACTTAATAACATTAGGTGACATTATTGTGGCACATCAGTAAAGCCTTAAATATAAATATATAACGTGGCACACGTAATTTAATGAATTTTAACTGAATGAGTTGGTTTAACTCTTAGACCAGCAGGGGTACCAAATATGCAGACTGCTGCAATAAGTACATTAATTAACTGTCTCATCGATGTGTGTCTGTATGAATATGATAATATTAACAATCATATTATTCCTATCAGCTGTCAATCACTGTTATGATTCACATATTCAGTGTTATTATTAAATAAACTATATTTTTTGGAGGAGTTAATGATGAACGTTCCTCAAGATGCTTGCTCACCCTCCTTCAAATTTGAAAGACCAGTAATTACTATCATAATTCAAAAGAATCAAAGGTACAGTTCAGCGCCCCACAACTTCATTGCAAACAGTTACAACCTTGACTTTACATCAGAAAGAACAAACATTAAAGAAATGACTAACTGCATCAGTTAGGGTTAAAAAAAACGTGTATTCAGCTAAAACATACATCGCTGCAGTTATTATCCAGTGGAATGCCCGTACCTACTGGCCTAGTTAAATCAAAGTGGTTACTTTTTTTTGGCTGGGCAGTGAAGTTTTACACACCGTCTTATTTGACTTTCTCAGGACTT